TCAAACTCTGACTCAATCTGAACCGGTGATATTAAGACCTGGGGAGTCACATAAACTGACCTGTACAGCCTCTGGTTTCACATTTGGAGACTACTGGATGTTCTGGATCAGGCAACCTCCAGGAAAAGCACTGGAATGGGTTGCAGCTATCAGTTATTGGGCTGGAACTACTAAGCGCTACTCTCAGTTAGTTCAAGGCCGGTTCACCATCTCCAGAGACAACGGTAAACAACAGGTGTTTCTGCAGATGAACAGTCTTAAACTTGAGGATTCGGCTGTTTATTACTGTGCTCGAGGGGCACAGTGACTGAAGTTGGTTTGGTTGCCGTACAAAAACTTGGTTGCTGTACCAAACAATCTCGGTAAACCTCAAACCTGATGGCTTTGAAAATATATAATTTCACATTCCATCACCTAGCTATAAATTGATGTGAATAGAAAATGTGATGATTATTTTGTTTCTTTCTTCAGTAAAAACCTCCTGTTCATCCACCGAGACAAAGTCATTCATGGCATACACATCTAAAGTGGGGGCCTGACCAGCTTTTCTCTGATTTTCTGTTTTTGAAAGTAATTAAACACCCTTACATAAACTGTTCTACACAGAAATAAGCTGCCACCAAATTTAACAATATCTTTCTTTTGCCTACTTTATACAGATTGCCCTAAGTGCTTAAATTACTTTGATGTTTTCTTTAAAAAATGGTTTACTTTAAATATGTTGATTGATTTAATGTTTGATGTTCAAGCGAACCTAGGTTTATACTGATTTGAGGCCATATCACCTAACCCTTCCCACAAGCTTGTGCCTTAGTAATTGAGAGAGACCAAATAAAATTGATCTTTGTGTTGTTAGTTGTAAGATTGAACAAAAGAAAATTATGTCATGGGGAGCCTGCAAACTCCACATATAAATTACCCTACTAATTACTGTTTTGATTTTATAACATGTACATGTACCAGCTCTGATTTCACATACACCTGTAATGACCAGAAAACAGAAAATCCAGATTTAACCAGAGACAAGAGACGTTTTCACAGTGTATTGAAACGTTAAACTACTGCAGGTCGGGAGGGATTCACCATAGTCAGCCAACCCAGTCTCATGGGAAAATTAATGTACCTCCACTACGTTTTGCAGTGTGGACCAACGTAGTGGGGGTACATTTTCCCATGAGACTGGGTTGAGTCAGCAACCAAAACTCTGTGTTTGAGAACAAGCTTTGAGAATTTCTGAAGATGCCGATTGGTGTTTGACCTCACTGGTGGACCTCAGAGGATTCCTGAATCTGTCCAGGCTGATTTGAAGGAGTCCTTCTTTGACAGTAAATCGTTGGTCCAGAGGAATGCACAGGGTCAGATCCATGAGAGCAGAGGAAGGCAGAACGATCAAGGGGACAAACCAGATTTCAGGGTCCAAGACCCAGTCAGGAGTCAAAGCCAGATGATTCGACATCCAGAGACAAGAATCTGAGAGTGAGGTCAAGACACATAAACAGGTCAGAGATTTAAAAACACACTATGACAGGTCTGATAGTGTTCATGGAGGCTCAGAGAATCAGGGAGCAGATTAAGGTCAAAATCAGGCAGGGAGACAGGTAACAGGAACGCTGGATCAAACTCACCTGTCAATCGTAATATTCTGGCACTAGTAACTAGTCTGAGAGCTGGTTATGTGGTCGGTTAAGCAAGTGGATCTGATGGAGACTGATTGGAAACTGATGAATCATACCAGCACTAGTGCCAGAAATCATGACAGCACCAAAGAATGCATTGTAAGAAATGCCTTTAGAAAATTTTTTAACTCTTTTAGCCTAGTTTTATCTTTCAGTGTGGCTGTTCACCTGCTAATGGAATCTCTAACCTGAATACCCATCATGACAACATAAAGAAATCTTAGATTAACCTTCTTGCAAATAATATTAATTTTACTTGGATATTGACAAGTTGAAGAATATGGAGTTGTTTAGACAATGTACCTAACCAATCTCTTATTATTGAGTATTTTCTTATACCTAACACTCTCATTTTATTCAACAACAACAAAAATTAATATTCTAATAATTTTCCAAACCTGCAGCTGCCCAAACATCGTGCTGTCTCCAAAATATTCTCATTCTCCACCAACTGTTCCATTTATTTTTGGCATCCTGACAAGAAATATTTACTTTCTAAACTTATAGATATCTGTATGTTTATTCGATTTTGTAATATAATTTTGTGTGGCATGAAATTGGTCTCAGATAATTACGTCAAAATCCTTGGTATTATTGTAGAATAGAACTAATTCAAAACCCACATTAAACAGGTTTCTAGAATTTCTTTCTTCCATCTTAGGAATATTGAAAATGTTGATTTAGGCTATGTATCCTGTTTAGGGGTGATGCTGAGAAACTATTCCATGGATTTGTTACTTTGCGGCTGGACTTTTGTGATTCTTTACAATCAGGAAATCCATAAATTGTAGTTAAAAGCCAGCAAAAATAATGAAGCCAGATTTCAAATGAAAAATCAAAAGAGATATCACCATTATCCTATTGTAGCTTGCCTTTCAGTGGTTTCCTAAATACAGAATGGAATTTAAAATCCTCCCTTTCACATATAAAGTCCTTAATAACCAAGCTTCATCTCATATGAGAGATCTGGTTATTAATTTTGTTCCTAACAGAGCACTTTGTTCTCAACTTGCAGGCTTAAAACTGTCCTTTATTATAAAGCTTATAGTAAGTTCAGGTTATTCTGAGCTATCATTATAGTTATGCTGTTAGGCTTAGGCTGCTGAAGGACAAAGGGACAACTTTTCATCATTCTGCTTAATGATATCTGTTTCACCATTCTCCAGTGTTTGTTATTTCAAGTACTATATGTTATCTCTGCTTTTTTTCCCACCAGAGTAGCTTCACCTGGTCTGTTCCTGTTTGGCTGTGACATCATCCTAGATTGAAACATCAGCTGGGCATTTTTTCATTTTTCCTAACCCTAACCCAGGTGTTGTTTCTTTCCTAGACATAGCTATGGGCTCAGGATATATTGGGATGTATTTGCTCTCTTTCCTCCTTTTCGGCATTAAAACAGACTAAAGCTAATCTGCTCATTCCTAGATAGAGCCACCTTTGGAGCCAGTTCACAGTTATCTTTTCTCATAACTCTTTACTGTATGCATGCTCTGTGTAAGTGATTTCCTACTGCCACCACATGCTCATCCAGGAGAAGGGAAGTATAAACTTGATGCAGCCTCCTGGGTTTACTTAGATTTAAAAAGAAAAGAAAAAATTCTAACCAGTCTGACTTTATCATCTGATTGAATTTTCTCTGTAAAATAATGTGAGATTACATATTTTGTGAACCCCCTTGTGACCCCAGCAGGGATAAGCTTGATGGAAAATGGATGGATAAATAAACTGAACTGAAATAAATTAAATTAGAATCACTTAATGTTTTGCCTCAGGATATAACATGCAACCTAATAGAACCACATGAGCATTTGCAATGCAATCTCTACATAAAGGTCACCATTGGCTTCATAGAAAAGAAACAAACAAAAAAAAAGCATATAGACAAAATTGTCTGTTACATAAAACACATATTTCTACTTGAAATATACATTTTATGTATTTATTTTAAAAAATGAGTATCTGAAACATTTTGTACTAGTGGTTATATCATTATCTGAGTAAAAAAAAACAAAAAAACAACTACAAATTAATTAGAAAAAAGAAAACATTGAAAAAATATTTTTATTAAATTAGTTTTCAGCTTGCTCTTTTACTGTATAAGCAATAAAGAATAATATTTGTAATTCCTCCATCAGCTGTGTTTTTATTGCTGTTGGTATTGTCCTCTGATATTTATTCAGGATTTTGTATTACTGTTTCTCACTGTGATGGACTGGGGGGCACAGAGATATACACCAGCACAAAAACCCCATAACAAAAACATGATAGTAATTCACTTAAATAAAGAGAAAGAAATAAAGTAATTCGTATTTTATCTTTAGTGTATGAAGTAAGAGCTGTGTTTAATGGTTTTAATTAACTGATTTGTGTATACCAGATAGTTAATTTGCTGTTTGGTGTCATAAAGAACAGATGTCATATGTAACAAATCGTTTTAGTATATAGGCCTACATTGTAGTTTTTCTTTTTCTTTTTTTTTTTAACTTTTAAACAGAACCATCTGACTTTTCCTTATTTTAGAATTTACAGAACTATTTGTATTTTCCTTCCTTTATGTGTTTCTATCATTTTCTCTGCTGCTTTAGGTTTTTGTCAAAGGAGTTAACTGAGATGTAACACTGTGATGCTTTCGATGTCTGGGGAAAGGGAACCGATGTCACTGTTAAACCAGGTAAGGTAATAAAAAGCTCTCTCTCTCTAATATCGGTAGGATTATTTGAATCTTTTTTTCTAATTATTGGATTTGTTTAAATTGTAGGGATAGCATTACGTTTTTATTTTAGTGCGCTGATTTTCGATTTTATAGGCTGCGCAAAATAAGTCCGCTCTGAGATTTTATTAACTTTGAAATTATAAATTACACCTAAATTCCTCAACTCTATCCGTGAATGGACGTTTTCAGAAAATGAAGCTAAATATCAATGTTATTGTTGCTTGGATTAGGCTATGAAGGACTGTATTTGAGTTTTGAATTAAATAAACATAGGCCCATTGAGCGAAAATGTGTATAAACTATAACCGATTTATATTTTTAGGTGCATATATGTAGCCAATTCAACATTTAAAATATGATTTAATAGGTCAGAACTAATCATCGACAATCATGGTAAAGTTTCAATATTATTTTTTCATAAGGATGTCGGCGAATATGTTTGTTTGTTTAAAACGTTTTTTTTTCTTTTTTTTTTTAAGCATTTGGGGTTTAAATTGCAAAAAGCATCTAATCATAAAAGATGTGAATTTCTTTTTTTTTTTCTCGCGGTCGAAACAAGTGATTTTTGCAAGACGAAAAAAATTGACACAAAATAAACAAAGGAAGTTTTGCCTAATATCCAAAATTAAAGACAAAATACGTTACTGTAATAATAATAAAACTTTTTTTTCCCATTTTGTGATGAGTTTAGCATTCAGTGAATAAGTAAAGTAGCTTTCTTGTCCATGCATTAAAAGGGATAAGCAGAAGTTTAGCTGAAAAATCATTACAGCAGATTTATTTCAGCTGAAGGAGAAGTGTCAGTTTTGCACACAATAAAAACCTCCGCAGTTTTCTCGGTCGCCTAATGTCTTCCTTGCAGAAAGACTGGTAGCGTCCTCAGATACTGAAGGTAAATATTTCTCCGTCGTTGGTCTAAATACCGCAGAATTGATTTTAAATTTAAGCTTAAGCAAAAAAAGCATATTATGAACTAAAATAACTTCCTTTGCAAGTATTGTCTTTGATGATACAAAGTCGTCAACTATATGATTAGAAGTGAAATTCTTTAAACATCTGTGCTCTAATTCATAGGTCCGCAGTTTTTCTAATCAAGCGCCACTTAATTCCGAGTCTAGCAAAAATAAAAGCTGTTCAGAGCCGCTTATATTACATTAAAATATTTTTTAATCATTTTAAATCTAACAGAGCTTATTATTTTTGTTTTTAAAATTAGGAAGAAAAAAAAAGTTCAATTTATTTAATTATTTCGCCTTTATTTAACCAGCTTAGACCCATTGAGATCTAAAATCTCTTTTGCTAGGCAAACCTGGCCAAGAGGAGAGCAGCAAATAATTTACAACACATCAAACATAAAAAAACACACACACATAAATCGAAAAACAAATATAAAAAAAAAAAAAAAAATCCTAGAACTTAGAACTAGAAAGAATTTAAGACATTGAAATGTTGCAGAAACGTTCACCTGAAACATTTTTACACAGACATTATTGATTTAACAAGGATTTTGATTGTTTCAGCGTCACAAGGCTTTGAATGTGAAGTTCAGACTGTAAATCCTTCCAGGCAGTGGGTAATGAAAACCTAAAACTCTTCTTGCCCATTTCTACGGAAGAGGATTAGGGCCACTGGAAAAAAAAAAAGTTAACTGATTTTTAAATTTTATTTCAGTTTAGTATGGGATAAAAGTCAGAATTCTGACTTTTTAAGAATTTTCTCAGAAATCTGACTTTTTTTATTTTCAGAATTCAGTCAGAATTCAGAGAAAAAAGTCAGAATTCTGAGATTAAAGTCAGAATTCTGTGATTAAAGTCAGAATTGCGAGAAAAAAAGTCAGGATTCTGAGATTAAAGTCAGAATTCTGAGAAAAAAAGTCAGAATTCTGACTTTCTTCCCATACTAAATTTAAATAAAATTTAAATATCAGTTAACTTTTTTTTTTTTTTTTTTTTTTTTTTTTTTTTTTCAGTGGCTTTAATCTTCTTCCGTACATTTCAATTCTTGCTTTGGGACAGCAAATTATATGAGGTCCATAGATGGGAGATTATAACCTCCTTGCTGTCTTGTTAAAGGACTTTTCAAATATGATGAAAGAGCACCCATAATAGATAAAAACATACCAGTGAGACAGGCGTCGGGCAGAGACCATAGAGACCATAATAGTGGGTAAATTGTGGGTAAATGGACAGCTGCCAATAAATCTTAATAATATACATATTATCAAGTTTTGTAAGACAGTTAGCAGAAGCATTTATGTGCAAAACATCTCCTTAAAAAGAGGATTTAGGATTTTTTCATGGTATTCATGTATAAAGTAAACATATTTTCTAAGCTAATGACAAAAAAATGTATCTAAAACCATATTCCTGATTCTTTAATGTCATTTTGTTGTGAGAATAAAATTCAAAAAATCTTTAAAAAACCTGATAAAACGTATAAGAGTAGTATTTGTTAACATATTACATTGAAGACCATTAGTTGTCGCTTTATCATCTTTAATCACTATTAACAGCCATGGTAGGGGGTACAAAGAGACTCTTGCGGCTGCAGACCCCTGATGTGATGGAAGCAAATACGTTTTAAAAAAGTTCTCCAACTTTAGAGAGTAGGTCGTTTAAATCCATCAGAAGATTTTCATTGAAAAATGACATTGAGCAGATTCCAAATTCCCGTTATTGAAAAAAAATAATGTTACTAAGAAATCTATAAGAGTTTATCAAAAAAATTTAAAATTCATAATATATCTAAGACCACTGACATGAAACATAACATAAATGCTATATTTTAAGAATTACATACTTTTTAGCTTTAACATTAACTGAAATTTGAATATTAAATATTTAAAACTATACATTGTTGTCTTGTTATTTAGTTAGTCTAAAAGGGAAAAAAAAAAATCTTTTTGATTTATATTTTCTGAAAGCAAGAGTTTCAGACATTTGCAATATTTATTTTATAGATCATTAGCATTTAGAGCTTAACTGTCTTGTACGTTTAGAATTTTCCCTTTTTAAAAACATTCTGCTGAGAAGATTATTGTAGATCTTTTTCTCATTGGTTCTTTACAGATGGTCCAGATGTGCCTCCAACCATATTCATCCTGAGTCCCCTGCAGACTCCTGGCTACCCCCCAAAGACTGCAGACGAGCTTGGTCCAGATGTCTGTCTGGTCACAGATTTTCGTCCAAAGGAGGGAGATTTGGTTCTAAATACCAAAGAAGGCCAAGCCAATGTCAGCTCTATCAACCCTGCTCCGACCAAGACAGGCACCTACTACACTGCTGCATACAGCAACGACACCATCATCTCCTGTGAGATGAACGGGACCTTCAGCAATAATGAAGCTTGTACGGATTTCACAATTTTTCTCTGGAGTTCCGATCACACGGTTTAATTTACAAAGTTTGGGCTGCTAAAAAAGTGTTTCTGCAATTAAATCATCTGATTCTAACACAAAACATAGCAACGAATTTATATTAATGTTGAAACTGATAGTTTTCATTAGATTAAGTCCTAAATGCATTACTATTTCTGTGATGTTTCTGTGACTGATGTTCTTTCTGTCTCTAAACAGATGATTTATGCAGGAACATTTATCCAGGTAAATCTGAACTCTTCCTGACTTACTGCAGGTTTGTTTCATCACTGGTTTCAGTGTTGAGTTCAGTCTTAATTCTTTTTTTTTGCCCTCCAGAAAAAGCCAAGCTGAACTTCTACCTGCTGCTGATGAACGGAGTCCGGGTGGTGTTCACCAAAGCTCTGGCCTTCAGCACCGTCCTCACCATCAGAGGCCTGCTCTTCTGAAAATGACTGAATTCTAAAGAAGCAGAAATTAGATTCAAAATATCTATATACATATCAAGAAAACTGATCCACGGAAAGCCTTTAGATTTTGTTTTTTTAATTAGTATTATAATTCAGACAAGAATAAAACAAAGCCAAATATTTAAATGTTATAAAACACATTTACGCTTTTGTAAAATAAATAAATAAATAAAGTACAATTTGTAATCTATAAGCAAATTTGATGGTACAAATAAAAAAAAAAAAGTTACAAAGAACTATCATTTTATTTCATCATCATTGATAAATGTATCAAAATTTTGATTGCATTTTTGCTGTACATTAAGATTTTACATAGATTACTGTGAAATGTTTCTTAATGTTTTTTTTTTCATAGATTGTCCATTTAAAATGTGTGCATGTTTGCAAAGATATGTATTTTGTAATGAACTTCCTTGCTTCTGTGTTTTAATTTTCAAGACCTAACATAAAATCATCCTGTATGACATATATATATGTATATATATATTTTTTTTTTCACATATCGTATTTCACAAAATTTTTCATAATTTTCCTCTTTCTTTATGTATTTGTATGCTTTTGTTGAATGTTTCTGCCCTGTTCAAAAATAAATAAATACAATTGATTCAGGCGCATATGAACATCTCACATAAAAGTCCTTAAGTCAAACACATAAAGATCTTATACAAAATGGCAATTTGATTTAATTTAACCTATTTAAAAATCAGGACAAGACCACAAAACATTTTTTTTTTAACAAAGATGAATGTTGATAAATAAAGTTAACAAATGCTTATTCAAAGCATCAAACAATAAAGGAGAAAAATAGTTCTTCTCTTTCTCTCTCTAAATATATTTATTAATATATATTAAATATATTTAAATATATATATATATAATATATAAAATATATATATTTATATGTATGTATATAAAACCAAGATTGGTAATCGTTAACAAGCAAATAGCAACCAAATCTAAATCAATGACTTTTAATAAATGATGATAATATTAATAATAGTACTTTGATTATTGCCAACTTAAACAAGAGCAAAATAAAACATTGAAAATACAAATGTAGCTAAAGTGGCTGAAAACTGAACTAAAGTAAAATTCTAAATATTAGAGATGAATTTCTTATTAAAACAAGAGTCCATAAATGTATCCTTCGTTCTTTTTATGCATAACAATACATTATGTATAACAATGATGAAGAAACACTCAAATAATCAAATTATGTTGAATTAAACAATCCCAAAACAAAACAAAAAAAAAAGAATAATTTCAAATGAAATTAAAGTAACAAAAAATTAGTTACAAATTTGTCTAAGATTTTCATATTTTTTAGAATAAACATTTACTTATTAATCTTTATTTTTATCTATATTATGTGGTGTTTAACCGCGCAAAATGAGAAGCTCCTAACAATAGTGCTGTAAACCTATGTTATTTACATTTATCAAACTTTTATTAAAAGTCGTATTTATCTCTATGGGTCTTTTCGGCTTAGGCTTTTTTTTGGCAGCTTTTAATGTTTGTGAAGCTGAAATTGCAGCGTATTTCCCATCAGTCCTCGGAGCAGTATCAGTTAAAACCACATTTGAACAGGAAGTTAAAGCTGTAGATGTAAATCTGACCTAAACCAGATGGCAGCTTGGTTTCACATCGAAGAACGCTTTGGCTAACCTCAGCCTTGGTTGTTTTTTCCTCCTACACAATCTTTATATACGTAATGGAATGATTAAATCTTTTCTTGTAATGAGTCATTCTGTCAGACATTTTACTAAATGCTGCTAAAACACCACTGCAGCACCAACTATATAACATGTGTAAGTATTAGTCAGAATTGTGAAACAATCAATGTAGAAAAATGTTTCAGTGAGATAATACCGTTGTTATCTGCTTTCCTTGAGAAAGGAAAATCTGTTGGAGGTCTTGTTTTTATATATATTTTTTATAGTTTTTAATAGTTTCTGTAAATAAAATAAACTTTGCAGTTTTAGACCTAATTATTTTCAAAAAATAATGAAGTCATTTATTGCTCCTCTTCTTGGATATTATTCATTTTTACAGTGAGAAAAAGGCTAACCAAACCAACCTGATAGAATGTGAAAAGTTGCTCTTCTTGTTGTTCAACAATAATATTTAATTGTAAAGATACGGTCACACCCACTCCTTTAGTTAAAAAGTAAAAAAGTGAAATACAAGTTTTTATAAACATTTTATAAAAAAACTAATATTCCACAGTTTCAAAGCAGATATTATATATACGGTACCTAGAAAGGAACTAGTAATAGTCACAAAACAAAGCTTAGAAATGAGTTTATTACTACAGTATACATAGGTAAACTAAATGTTCACACTGCTAATCTCATGCTCCCTTTCAACCCATTCTGAGAGACTGCAGAACAGCCTTTTGTAATTTTACTTTTACAATGATCTGTAGGTCACAGAGGACAATTGCACAGAATTCGAAGTACTAATGTAAATATGAACACCTCAAAACGAACATCTATTGTTGCCCTCATGTATTTGTATGGACATTTAACAATAGCTGTGAATATTCAATGTTTTTTATGACAATGGTTTATTGTACAAGACACGTCAGTGATTCAGGATACTATCTTGTAAATATTTAAATTCTTAATCCATATCTGTGGAAATGTTACAAAGTTCACCTGTAAAGGTTTTTTCATTTGCTTTAAAAAACAAAACAAAAGAAGCATTGTCCTAAATCACAACAGACAAAGCTTAACAACAAAATCTGACATCTGTGTCCTGTCATGTTTTAGTAGACCATCGTCTAATATTTATTTTACACAAAGAATGGTTCATCTGCGTTGTTCACAAATTATGATGTGTTTTTGGTGATGGGCTGCATAAGGAGGAGGGGTCATGCAAATTTCCCTTTTCAATCATCTCTTAAAGTGTAAAGTCAAGCTGCCGCTACAGCTCGCAATAAAGCTGCAAACTTAAGTTAAACCAGTAGCTTTTTGTAATGTGGAAAAACATGTATGCGGTCATTTTCTTTTATCGGCTTTGTACTTTTGCTGGTAAGGATTGTGACATAGAGTTATAGTGGAGGTAATGTATAACTGAGATAAACTATTGTATTGATAAGCTGTTAAATTTTCTACAGGTGCAAGTGGTCAAATACTGACAGAGTCTGAACCAGTTGTTAAAAGGCCTGGAGAATCTCACAGACTAACCTGCACATATTCTGGGTTTGGTGGTCATTCTGATAATGCTTGGATCAGACAGGCTGCAGGAAAAGGACTGCAGTGGGTTGCATATATCAGCGGTGGCGGCAGCTACATCCACTACTCTAACTCAGTGAAAAACCGTTTCACCATCTCTAGAGAGAACAACAGAAATCAGGTTTACCTGCAAATGAACAGTCTGACAGCTGGAGATTCTGCTGTTTATTACTGTGCCCGACACTCACAGTGCAACAGAAAGCAGAAGCCCTGTGCAGAAACTCATCTTCAAGTCCAAATGTTATTTGGATAGTCCTAATAAGGCTGCACTACAGCATTATTGATATGCTAGATAAAAAATAGAGTATTTTCTCTTTATTTTAAGTGAGTGGATTTTCAAACAGCAATTTAAAATATAACCAGATGGAGGGGAGAAAAACAAACAATTTTATGTCAATTTCCATCTCAACAATGAGATATGGAGAAAAGAAGTAGCTCAGATGTTGCCAAGTCAAATGGTCTCTGTAAAGTGCTAAGGAATTTGGGCGGCGTGGCAACAAATGAACCACTGGAAAATTAAGCAATTGGCACAAAGGAAAATGAAGTCAAACTGTTCCTACAATGTTGGATTGAATGCATGGAATTGTCTATATTCTATTGGTATTCATTCAGAGATTCTTTTATTGGAGCTAAGGGGTAAAGTCCAGCTCCTAAAGATCAACCCCACAACATAATCCTATATCCACCAAACTTTACCCTTGACATAGTAGAGTAAGACAAGGACTGTTCTTCTGGCAACCTCAAAATCTAGACCCATTTATCAGATTCATGGAGAGTGGAGGCCTAGTGGTTAGGACATAGATCTTGCAATCATGAGGTTGTGAGTTTGAAACTCACTCCCACAGACTGCCACTCTCAGTCTCTGAGCAAGACTCTTAACCCCCGATTGCTCCTAGGGTGCCCCACGATGGCAGCCCACCACTCTCCATGGGGATGGGTTAAATCATGCATATCCAAAGTCTCTCCTCGAGGGTCACTGTCCTGCAGGTTTTAGAGGTTTCCCTGCTCCAGCACAGCTAATTTGCATTGATAGTTGATTAACAGGCATTTACCAAAACTGCAGTAATCAGAATCAACTGTGCTAAAGCAGAGAAACCTCTAAAACCTGCAAGACAGTTGCCCTCGAGGACTGACTCTGGGGATGCTTGGGTTAAACGCAGGGGTAAATTTCTCCAATGTGAAATCAATAAAGTTCAATTATTATTATTAGATTGCCAGACGTAGAAGTGTATTGTCACTCCAGAAAACACCCCTTCCTCTAGAGTCAGTAGGCAGAGTGCTTTACATAACTGCATTGAACATTCTGCATTGAATATAGTGATGCAGCTGCTTTGACATGCAGACATATTCCATAAAGCTGTATATGCACAGAATTTTTTAATTAGTAGACCGGAAAGTGATTATGCAATGGCAGCCAACAGTAGTGAAACGGACACAGTCAAAAAGAAAACTGTGCTCTGCTAGCTGTACTAAAAAAAGATTAGTAAAGTGACACCACTGGATGATGGACATTATCCAAGCCATCAAGCTTGCTAACCATTTGCACCATGTTATACAAATGTTTCATCTCTTAATAGACAATGTAGGTTTCATAGTTGATTTTTTTCAATAAATTAACAGTTTTAATTAAACAGTTTATATATAACCTTTAGATTCATGTAAGAAGTTTAAATAAAGTGAAATGCAATTGAATATATTATTGGACATACTGTATATGCCTTACAAAAGTATTCAGACCCTTTGAACTCTTCCACCTTTTGCCTAATTTCATGATTCAAACAAGTCACTTTAGGTGACCTGGCGTATGGTTCTATCAGCTTTGCACATTGACAGACTGACATTTTAGCCCATTCTTCTTCGCAAAACAGCTGGAGCTCAGTGAGGTTGGATGGAGATAATTTGTGAACAGCAATTTTCAGTTATTTCCACAGACTCTCAGTTGGATTCAAGTCTGGACACCTGGCTATGTTTATTTTTA